AGGCAAAGCACTCCACAGGTGGAATCCCAAATTATTTCCTTAAAATCAACTGGAACTTAGTTGGATCCTTACACTTTTGTTTTAGGTAGGAACCAACTACTTCCCTATTTCAGGAGCACAAGGTCTGGCAACTAGCCACACCTATTGACAACAGTCTTGAGAGAGCAGAACTGATTTCCAACTAGGTGGGTCCTCTGTTTGAGGTAGAAGTGCAATAACCTTGAATGAACTGGAAACAAGGCCCAAACTCTCTGACCTTTGCCTCTTTGGGCCTCTACAACTCCTGACAGAGGAAGAACTATAATCCTGGCAAGAAGAACTGAGATTCAGGAAGAACTAGGAAGCAAATTAATGAACATGTATAGAAAATACAACCATTTATGCTTTATAACATAGAAGGAGAGGACAGAGCCAAAACAGTAGACAGCAATAGCAAAAATCAGAAAAGTATTGCCAGAATGAAAGTGTTCTAAAGTCCTTTAAAAATATTTATTTTTTGTTTGTTTATGTAAGTGTGTATAATTATAAAGGTTTGTTTTCAGCATATGAATGTGTGTGTATGAATATCTGTATATGAGCATCGGTGTCTTGACTCTAGAGGCTGGATCCCTCTGGATCTGAAGTTAAAAGTGGTTGTGAGCTACCTGACATGGTGTTAGGGACTGAACTTGGGCATCTTCCCGAGTACTGTGGTCTCTTAACCTCTCCGCCCTCACTTCAGCCCTCATGTAAGAATAGTAACTACACGCTAATTCTTAGTACAATGGTGAGTTTTCTGGGGTTATTACATTAGGAGTCTTTGTAACACATGTGTCCATATGTGTACGTGTATGTTATTCGTATTGAAATTTTATATTATGCTTCATAATACACATATACACAAATATTTGATATAGCTCATGTATGATAAAAATATAAAGGTAAAAATAATTAAATTCAAGTTAATTACAAATATTAGGAGATTCATCAAATTCTCAATGAGTTAGTGCCTTGAGCTGCTGGATTTTGTGGTAGCTGTGAATGTCTGAGGTTCCTCAACATCTTCTTAGAGAGCCATCTACTGGAGAACTGCTTCACATTCTTAGAACAAATTTGTTTTCCTTGTCTGAATTTTAAGTTTTACGCTCAGTTTCATGCTCAACTTAAGAGCAATCTGGGTGCAAAATCAGCACCATTCCTAGGGCTTTAGGTATTCTCATGTATGGGAACCTTTTTAGAGAATTGCTTTTACTTAAAACCATCTTATTCAATTTATTAAGATTATCTCTCTCTGTGTGTGTGTGTGTGTGTGTGTGTGCATTACATGTGATGCATGTGAGCATGCACAAACCGTAGTGTGTGTGTGTGTGTGTGTGTGTGTGTGTGTGCACGCGCGCGCGCACGCGTGTGTGTTGGGGGCAGTCAGAGAACAACTCATGGGAGCTGGTTCTCTCTTTCCATCATGGGTTTTGGGGATTGAACATCAGGTTTGTATGGCAATGACTTTTATTCACTGAGACATCTTCATTGGTCCCTTAATTTTAGATTTTAGAAAAATCTATTGGCATGGGCTTCCCAGATACTAACAATCATATCCTCATTTGAAAACTGTCCCCATTCTGCAGGGGGACATGGCAGAGACTAATAGAGCTCAGCTCAGGGAAGTTCCCTTCTTCATAGCAACCATCCGCTTTCACGTGCTTTGTTACCTTAGATCCCGTTTATAGCCTAGAGAGGGGAAGGAAAGTCGCTGAAAAGAGATCTCTGCCTCATGAACTAATGAGCAAATGGGCCGAAGGGGAGGATTCATGTGAAAAATACTGCTCTAAGAATGGAGCAGGCAAGGAGCTGTCCAGAGTCACACAGACAAGACAAGCTCCTGTCCTGGTGCTGGTCCTCATCCTGGGACAACACGCATGCCAGCGGTCTTCCCTGCTGTGAAGTGTGAATGACAGCCTGGAGATGCTCGCTGTGTGTCGGTCTTTGGGACGTGAAAAACAACAGAGGCGTCTATATTAGAGATCCTGGGTCAGCCTTAACTGAGCAAAATTAAAGCTTGGTTTTGGTGACCAGAGACTGAAGATGTGTTTGTAATTAATAATAAAAACAAGCTTTAACCTAGATGGGCAATTCTGGGTTTAGACAGCCTCATTTTAAGCTCTGCTCTGATAGTATTTGAGCACTCAAAGTGGTTATTAAGGGAGTAGCCTCTAAGTAAAAAAGCCTGTAAATTTCTTCCCTGTTCAGCTAACAATGTGGATTTGTGGGATAATGCTGGCAAGGCTGTTGAGTTCCTCAGAGGCTTAACCCCTCAGAAGAACAGAGGACTGGTGTGGGCTATAAAGCTGCTGCTAAGGCATTCTACCATGGAGAGGCCAGACAAATGAAACCGACTAAGAGAGGGTACTGTCTAGACATGTTCCCCTCTCTTCTGGCCATGTGTAACAAGACTTTGCTTTTTTCAAATTTGAACATATCACTTAATGTCACCAAGCATTGTTCAGTCATCTGGCATTGTTATCTGACACCACTGCTTAATGTTTTAATGTTCTTTTTCTTCCTCCCTCCCTCCCTCCCTCCCTCCCTCCCTTCTTCCCTCCCTCCCTCCCTTTCCTAGTTCCTCTCTTTCCTCCTCCCTCCCTTTTTTTCTTACTTAAGAAAAAGGGTTTCTTGTAGCCTATGGTAAATTCTAATTCTCTGTGTGGGATGACCTTGAATTTCTGAAATTCCTGCCTTTATCTCCCAAGTGCTGTATCACGAGCACACACTGCCACAGGAGTGTTATGTGGTGCTGGAGATCAAACCAGGACTTCATGCATACTAGCAACATGCACGCATGCTAGGTAACAACACCCCGCGGGCGGAGGCACATCCCAACCAGATAGTTTGCACTGTCAACTCTTACGGTTCCTTTCAGTCATAGCAAACTAAAAGGAGGAAGAACCGAGTCCCTATTGCTCTCTGTTGAAAATTTTTGCATTTTGCCCTTTCCTGGACTTGCAGCCTTTGCATGTGGATGTTGTTGGCATGGCTATCACAGGATGGGTCTCAAATCACATTTTTAAGTTTGCATATTAACTTTGAATTCCCATTGGTGGTGTGAGATCTCCCTTCTTCTTCTGTCACAGATAACAATAATCGCATCGCCAGTTCTCAGCAGATCCGCCTTACATCTTCTAGCAGGCACAACTGCTTTTTCCCTAAGTTCTAGAAGCATACTCACAGCTTTTCCCCTCTGTGTGCTCAGATGAGGTCATTCCCTGCCTTGTGGCCTGAATCAGTTTGAAGATTTGTAAGTCTGATTAACCCCTATCTTTTCCAATATCCGTAGTGTCCCCTCACCCCCTCCCCAGTCCTCAGTGACCTTTGCTAGTTTCCGAACACAGCCTGTGCATACCCGCAGTAATGATCTTTGTGTTTCTAGTTCCTCTTCTATGCTGCTCTTCCTGTCAATATTGGTCTCAGTTACACAAGAGAGTTTCTTATCTTGGTACTCAAACTTTATATTATGAGAAAGCCTTTCCTCAGTTTCACCATCTGAAGTATCAGCATCTGGCATTTTCTAGCATCTTGAGAATGTTCATTAGAATGTAGTCTCTGTACCCACTGTTGTATCCGTGTTTGCCCTACGTCTTCTTGAGGGGGAAGTTGGTTCCTGGGAACCAGAGCCTGTATCTCTGGTGCCAGAATCAGCATCCACCAGATGCTCAAGAAGAACTTGAGAACTTAAGGTTCATATAAGAGAACTTGAAGAACTTAAGGTTCATATAAGAACAGAGGAAAAATTTTATCTTTTGTGGTTCTAGGACGTGATCTCAGGACCTTGTACACACTAGGCTTGTGCTCTTCCACTGAGCTGCATACCAGCAAAGAATTAATATGTTTCACAAATTAGAAAATCATTAAATGATAAGACAAGGAGTATGTATATAGTTGTCTGGAAATAGGAAAAGTTACAACAAAGAATTGTGGGTGACTTTAATTTTTTATTCTGTCTTCTCTAGACTTTGAGGAGAGTCCCTCGCCACAGTGACTGTTGAGTTTATATCCCAGGAGAAACACACACACACACACACACACACACACACACACACACATACAAAACCATGGACTACTGGTCTTTGCCAAGTGTGAGTCGGTCCCCACAGATGCCTTGCCCCAAGGAAACCCACTGGATATGTAGTCATATGCTGATCTGAGACCAGGCAGTATGACTCCCAATAAAGTATATCAAAATAAAAAATTTTCTACATTAATATTATGCAACAAAGATGAAAATAATTTATTTTATGTTCTTTGATATGTCAGTATAATTTCTAACAGATGAACATTTTATGACCTCCAGAAAACACAAAATGTTTTCTAGCCTTGGAAATATATATTAGTTTATAAAAATTTATTGTTCCTGTCTTAATTTCCCTTCTATTACTGATCAAAGGCAACTTGAAGACACTGAATCCATTTCATGTTTTACCATGAAGGAAATCAAAACAGGAGCTTTAGGCAGGAACCTGGGGACAGGATGCCACTGGAGCAATGCTGCCTACTGACTTGCTCCTCATAGCTTTCCTAGTCTGCTGTTTATACAACTCAGGATCACTTGACCAAGTACAACACACACTGGGCTGGTCCCTTCCACACCAGTCATGAATCAAAAAATTGTCCTCAAGTCTCCCTACAGGTCTTGTTGAAGCATTATCTCAGTTGAGATTCATTCTTCCCTGATGATTCTAGCTTGTATCACATGACAAAAAGATAAAACTACAATTCCTAAGCTTTAATTCCTAATGAATATGATGATTATCTTATGTAACAGTTTTTAAGCTGAAAGTTTAAAACTCAGAGTATGTAGAAGGCACATAATCTCATAGAGCTCAGACTGCCCAATGTTAACTTTAACAATTGATTTTAAGGGCAAATATGATTATTTTGTAATGCTTGTACCACTTCAAAAGACTAATATGTTTGAGTACATGCTCAATGCATATCTTCAAATTTTCTTCTGATTTCTGTCTGTCCAGAGCTAGAAGATGAGGAGGATGAGGAGGATGAGGATGAAGATGAAGAAGAGGAGGACGAGGAAGAAGATGAAGAAGATAAAGAAGCAGACTCCTTGTATAAGGACTTCGACAGTGATACCGAGCTGCCAGGGTTCACTCTCCCTGGAATCACATCCCAGGAACCAGACGTAGAGGCAGGAAGCCTGGCCCTACTAGAGGTAGCAACCTATCAGGTGCCAGAAACCATGGAGTGGGAACAGCAGAATCAAGGTCTAGGTAAGAGTCCTTTGACTAACCCTTCTCTAAGGTTTCATTATCTTTCACTGGCATCTGTCAGAGAGAAAAATAGTCTACTTATGGTTATTTATGCTTTTACAGGAAAATTTTTAGGTATTTCCTCCTCCACTGCCCATCACCACTCTGGTTACTGGATGTTTTGAGAGGATCTCCACTTTTTAATTCCCCATAGGAAACCTTCCAAATGGGAGTAGGGATACATAACCCGGGCCCTAAATATGCATCTAACATGGGCTGAAGTCAGGAAGTAAATAGATTTTGGCACACTCTGTCCTGTCAGAATTTGTTACCTAGAAGTTTCTGCTCTTGTACTAGTACAGGTTGAGCCTGGGGGTTTACTTTTCAGTTTAAAGGCAATCTCACTCAGCAGCCACAGCCTGGTTGCATGCCTCTTTCTCTGTGAGTGAGCCAGGCTGCTATGATAGACTGAGGTTATGATCTGGGTCCCATCTCTACATCTTCTTTCCTGCCCTAGGGAAGCTTCTAAGCCACGCCTTTTCCTCTAATTGTAGGAAGATGCTCTTGAGCCCTGAGTAAGAGACTCACTCTCTTAATGTGTGGTGAATGGCATTTTCACCAAAGAAAGCCTGTCTCTAAAACACTTTTGAGCCTTTAACAGTGGGGGCAAATATTGAATGTAAGAGTCTATAAGCGACGTTTGGAGGTTTTTCTTTCAAAATTTAACTATTGGTTTGGGATATTGTTCTTGACATAGTTCTGGGCTTGTCACTTAGTAGATTAGCATGAAAATTGCAGGGAATAATTAGATGGGAATTGCTATGTAGTATGTACATAGTTAGGAGAGGCCATGAAGAGAATGATTCTCCAGAGTATCGCCAGAACTTGTAACTTTGCATATAGTGCTTACTGAATTATTTTCTGAACAAATACATCAGGTATTGGGCAATAATTACTTAAGATACATAATATAAGGACCAGGTGTGGTGGCACTTAGTTTTAATTCCTGTACTCAAAAAGTAGAGACGGATGAATTCCTTCTATATTGTGAGATTTAGGACAACTAGAGCTATATATTAAGGTGACCCCTCTCTCATATATACATGTATATGACAAATTATTAATAAATTACTATATTAATATATTATTGTGTGTTATATAAGGTGTCAAAAGCTTATAAAGGTATTAACATATATCAAAAAAGAAAATAAACAAAAAATAATATGAACATTGATTTGTAAACAAATATTATTTTGAAATTCTTCTGGCAAACAGATTTGTAATGAATGAAATAGGATACAAAAATATAAAGAGATTTTTTTGCCAAATATACTAAATACAAATGCAACAAACACTACATGAAGTGATTCTTCGTGTCAAGACGTTGTCATTTGACAGTGTCATGTACAGTAAAATAGCTGTAATAATTTAAATATGAAATATGTCCTACAAGCCAGTGCGTGAATGCTTGATGTTCGGGTAATGGTGTGCCTTGTAGGTTATATATGGTCAGAAGTCCCTTCCTTTACTCTGTTTCCTGTCTGCCTTGATGTGAGCTGCTCTACCATGCTTTTCTAACACAATGACTACATCCCCTGCCTCCCTTAAATTGTTTCTATCACATACTCTGCCATGGCAGTGAGAAAACTAACAAACACAAGTCTTTGTAGTGTGACTATATGTTGGCAGAGGCTGATTATTCATTCCTGGCTGCCCAGACACCCCCCCCCAAAAAAAAACCTCACAGAAACTATGTTGATTACACTACTTGGCCAATAGCTTAGGCATATTCCTGGCTTATATCTTAAATTAACCCATTTCTATTCATCTGTGTATCACCACATGGTTGTGGCCTACAAGTAAGGCCACAATTCCCACCTTGCTCTATTTTGCCTTGAAATAGGCCCAAGCAGCTTTTTTATTCACTAACGAATAAAAGCAACACATATACATAAGGACTTCCCACATCATCTCCCCTTTTCTGTCTAAATAAAAATAGAGGATTTTAACTTTAACAGTAAAATTGCATATAACAAAGCAGGTATCAAGCAAGAATTACAGTTACAGTATTTATATCTACTTTATCTTTTATCATAACTAAGGAAAACTGTAATTATAACTATCTATTCTTCAACTCCATCAAAGAACCTAGAGGGATATAATATACTGTTACCTAAGTTAATAGGAAGTGCTTTTTAAGCAACTTCCAAATCTCTAGAAATGACAGACATCTTGCTGCCTGGTCAGTTGCACATTCATATCTGGCAGACTTTTCTATAAAGCAGAAAATTTCAAAGACAGGTCTGCCTATGTTGACAGCTTGTCAGTCACTTTCTTCTGTGCCAGAATGTCTGACAGACTCTTTCATGAAGCAGGAACCCTGAAGTACTGCCTCACCTTCTTTAGACAACTTCAGTAGTCATTGTTCTGTGGGTCTTGCATGTCCAGTTCATACAGCATAACATCAAGCAGTTCAGGCAAGAGCAGTATCTTGCCCAAATGACTAACAAACTCCATAAGGAGCCTCTTCGATGCCCACCATTCTCTTGAAGATTGGTGCTGCCAGGAGCAAATGAATCTCATTGTCATGCAAAGTCCTAAGTTCTTAAAACATCTTAAATGCCATAGTCTGTTAGTGTTTGAAAGGTATGTAAGATACTTATCTATCTGAAATATATCTCTATACATCTAGAAAACCTACCTAACATGACTATAAGTTTGACAATTATAGATGACTATTTATTAATTTGTATTTCTTAATTATACGTTACGTTTTTAAATGAGCTGCTCAAACTCAATACCTTAATCAAGAGCAGAAATATATATATATATATATGTATATATATATATACATATATATATATATATATAACAAAATTGACCTTAAATTCTTATCAATAAACCAAGATACACACCAATGCGAAGTATTCATCTCTATAGCATATCCCCCTTTAAATGTAAATAAACATTTATAAACAACCATTTAGGGAATTTGGGTGTATTTCTCTCCAAATTTCTTCCTGCATTTTGTTGGGTGAAGTAATTTTAGGGTTTGTGAAGACCTTTGTGGGGTCTTGGTTAATCAAAGCACATTAATCTGAAAACAATTCACAAGTTCTCATCCTCTGTGGAAACAAAAGCAGAACCTCTTTTCCAAGTGTATCCTTAGACTCAAATTTTGAATTCAAGATATTTTTAAAGTACATACTTTGGTTTAGCTTAGCAGCCCATACAATGAAATGTCTCTCTGTACTTAGCTCATTCCCAGTCAAAAAATTCAAAAAAAAAAGAAAACCAACAAACACAATAATGTACATAATCCGGACTTTCTGTGTATTGTATATTTCAATTGTATGTGGTTCTTTTTTTAGTCCTTTAATCTATGGCTATCTGTACTCTGTCTTTTTTAAAATCTTTGTTTTACTTTTTAAAGTGATTTACTTCTTTTTATAGCGTTTTATACTCTTTTCTCTCTGTCTCTGTCTCTGTCTCTCTCTCAAGCCTATGTATATTTTTTAAACTCACTGTGCCTCATTTAGAGGTATTTATGTCTTAATCTCTCCTATTGTGTATCTGTAATCCTTTTCTGTTCAGGACTGCTTCTTAAAATGCTAAGCAGTGTGGCTAGGACTATGGCTGCTTTGCCTTTTGGTTCCGCCCAGTCCAACATGGTGGAGGTCCATTCAGCACCAGCTCTGTGAGTCAGGCTCACAGTTCCATTTTCAGGCACACAGTGGGTCTATGCTGCCATTAAGCAAGTGCTCACAAACCCCATTTAAATGCTTTTATCCAGACCTCCTGAAAGAGTCAGAGCCATTTGTGCTGGTGAATGAGAAAGACTGCTCCTAAAGAAGCCGTGCCTCTGCTTGCCATCAGCAAGCAGAGCCCATTCTAAATAAATAAATAAATAAATAAATAAATAAATAAATAAATAAAATGCAGCTACCAAGAAGCTGTGCTAAACTCTGGTCTGTCTGTGTGTGTGTGTGTGTGTGTGTGTGTAGAACTCCTTTTTAAGCTCTCTCAGGTTTTATGTGAGTGTAGTCAATTCATGTTGGCACCAGATGAAAATGGACACTATAAAGTAGTTCCACACTAGCTCAGAACTGAGTAAAATAAAGGGTTGTTTATTTGGGGTAGACTCACAGATCACTGTCTTCTGTACAAATAGCGAACAGGAACTGAATCCAGCAGCGGAGAGAGTGCACAAGCTTTATGGCTGCATTTATAGTATCAGAGACCGTGCCCAAGTGGGCTTGTATCTTAAAGGTTATTGGTTGAAGGAGTTCCCACAGCAACTATATGGTGTGATGAGGATGAATATTTGAGACTTGGCTGTTTTGCTAGAGAGATAAGAGGAAGATTCCCTTCCTATAAAAGTAAGTAGGCTGTTCAGGAATGGTGGTGTGCCCCTGTAATCCCAACACTCAGAAGGCAGAGGCAGGAGGTTGCAAATGTGAGGCAAAACTGGACTATATAGCCAGTTTGAGACCAGTCTGGGCTCCACAGCTAGAACCCATATCTCAAATCATATCCCAGCAAAAGAATTTAACAGACAAGAAGCACTAGGTAGGCATCTACTCCTGGGTTGTGGTCAAAGAAATGAATGCTCCTCACGTAGGAAGTGGGTTTGCCATGTACGAGTTAGTATACGCATCTGGAAGGACTGTGGAGCTCAGGAGAGGTGGACAGGCTTCAGCTCAATGCTGCAATGATCATTTGGATTGTTTTCTAACTATGTCCCTAAAAGCAAATTTATTATTAAAAGGAATCAAGTTTTTATGAGATTATTTATTTACATATTACATATAAACTGTATCCACTTCAATGTATATCTTGATGAAGTGGGTATTTATTTATTTATTTATTTATTTTACTATTACGAGGTCTCTGTAGGTAATTCAGGCTGGCCTCAGACTCATAGTTCTTCTGCCTGTTTCCCAAGTGCTGGGATCACAGGTGTGTTGCACTGCACCCAGCCAGTTCAGTGGGTTTGCAAGCTGTCACCCGTGCTCTTCCTC